CTGTCAATCAAACTATCGTGGGAGGGGCCTGTCTTTGTGACGTCACACAGACAGGCATCTGAGATCGGCTCGATTTGAGAAAGGGGTAAAGATTTTAGTAGATTAAAAAAAAACGCTGGGTGGATTTTTATTATAGGGTGGTTGTGAACACACACTGCCAACACACATTTCAGTTCAAACAGCTTGTAAAAGTGCATGTAGCATCGGATGACCCCTTTAAAAGAAATGTTCTGAATGCAATAATGACAGAAGAGCTGGATACTGTAGGTTGTTTATACAACAGTATTTTCAGTTTTTACTATTTTTACAGACATTTCCAGAAGATACAACACATCACATGATCTGCCGTTACTGTAGATCTAATGAAGTGTTTGATTAGAGACCGAGAGAGATGTGTGAACGCCCGTGATGCCTGCGTGAGGTGTGTTCGTATTCTAATGCAAGCCCACACTCTTCACACACTGCATATCTAAGGTCGCTCTGCAGGAACGCCCTGGAATGAAATGCAGTTGTAGTTTCATTCAGAGGTCCTTAAAGTTTTACAAGCGTGATGGAGGGGTGTGGAGCATCTTAGATCATTTTTCACAACTACTGTCAACCTGTTCTTAAACTCAACCCAGTAGTCTATTTCCAACTAAATAAAACCTACATCCACTTTCCATTCAATCGCTCAAGACTAAATAAACAATGCATTCCATGCATGCCAAAATTCCATCGGCATTCCTGACCTGCTGCATGTCATCAGTCTCAAGTGGCTTCATGACTTCATAAATGTCCTTTATGCACAAATATGACCTCTGCTGTGATCGACACTTAAAGGAACGTGAAATGTTAGGGAATAAAGCTCTGGTGTGTTCATAAGACGGCCAGTCAGGTTGATTCAAGGCCTGAATTATTCTGCAAACTTGCATGACAGGTTTTAAAGTGCCAAAATCACATTCTAAAACATGCAAATTGCACACAAAGGTAGAAGTCGTGTGCCATAAAGGTCAAAAACAATGTTAATGTTTTTGGAATGTGTATAAACCATTAGTAATTAATTACTAACCATAAAACCACTTCCATTCATTCATCTAACATCCATCCATACATGAACAGGAGGAGCATCACAGAGAAGGAAACGCTTCAGATTTGACGGTTCTAGACATTTGTCAACTTTATGCTTTATAGATTACAACAGACCCCCTCAAATTCACCCACAATTCCCTCCGCAGTGCCAATTTATATGAATGAAAAAATCCTTTAGGGTTATCCGCTACACTAGGAGATCTTGCTCCATCAAATCCAGGTGGTTTGTCATGTGATCGGGGTCTCATTTGTTTGGGTGATCAAATGCTGGTTGATATTTCAGTAACTCAAAAGTGAATAAGTGTGTCAGATTACCCAATTCATCCTACTCTACTTACTGTATGCACCTTATCCAGGAGTCAAAAATGTCACCTTGCAGCATCATGCATACTGCGGGTCACTTACCCCTGGCCTCTTCCATTCAAAGTTAACCGGGACCCTCTGGCTGAAGAAGAGCGAGTCGTCTACGGCTGGGAAATCTGGATCCTCAAACAGCTTCCCCTTTTGCAAACACTCCAGGCGGAGCTGCTCAAACGTCTTCCCGTCCGCCTGTGTGCTGTTCACTAGGGTCGCCTGGCCAGAGCCACTCGGCAGAGTCACACTGTAGGGCATCTTCAAACCAAGCTCCAAAACCACAGACAGGACACTGGTGACACTCGTCTGGAGCAGTGAGCTTGTGTTTGAGTGTGTGTGAGATGAATCCAGCCACTCTTTCCGACGGACAGGCTCATCAGGTTGGCGTCACACCCATCAAGAGCAGAACTGGTTTGGGTGAAAGCAGCCACGCCTGTGTGCGAGGAGGTGGATCAGATCCTGCTTGAGAACTTTACTACGGTATTACTGCAGTAATCAGATCAGAAATGAGATCCAGACAACTATGAAATGTTACAAAAATATATTTACAAGTATCAGAACGATGCAAAAACATTTCTTTGAAGGAACCAAACAATACAAGTCTTTTTTTTTTTTTTCTCTTACTGTTAAAGACAAACATCCCATGATTGTGTGGCTGACCGCTAGGAACACAAAAAGGAAACTTCAAACGGAGAAACTTGACTTGATTCATGCAAAACTGTGCAGTGCAGGGTTGCAAAATCAGATTCAAGGAAAGTCGTCATTCAGTCCATCCATGAGTTACGCTGTTCAACAGGCTACAAAAGACAAACTGTGGCATTTATATTAATCATGTGTTTTTTTTCTTGAGCTTTCCTGAGAAAGTTTGTTTTGTTGCAGTTAAACTAAACACAATCCCTAGTGACTGGGGGAATAAAAACTAGGATGTTGACAGCATCGTCAGGACTGTTTTCTGCCTAAACTAGGATGAATCCAGTTTATCTGGCTTCCTGGTGAACTTCCAGGATGTGCTTACCTTTATAAACATAGGCCATCAACAAACAACAGCAACGCTACAACAGAAATTAGCCAAACTGAAAAATACAGACATGGAAATAATGACCTAACTTTTTTCAGAAAAATATGTCTAATATTTATATTTTTATGAAAACAGCAGGCTACACCTTTAATGTTCTTTGGAGGCATCGACACACACATCAAAACAAAAATGAACCAAAACATCAACACTCTCACTTTACAAAACACAACGGGTGAATCTCACGAAAACCCGTCAAGAACATGTCCCGACCATATTTCACAATAAAAAAAATAGAAGCATATTTTGCGCAAAGAAAATAAAGCCTATTAAGATGACATTATTTTTATGACAATTGTCACCCAAATTCTTATTGTAATGCCAATAATAATGATGATGATGATGATGATGAAAATCAAGGTAGTATTTGTTGTCTTTCCTTTAATAAGATAAAAATGCTGTAAATTATGAATTTATAAGTAGTATTTGTTGAACTACTTTTTCATTTATGCAGAATTTATTCACAGTATTACACCACTGACATTACAGTCCAATAATTTTTATTGCAAAACGTCTATTAAAGAAAAGAAACTGTGAAACTTATGTCCCAAATTATTTAGTTGAATCAACATAAATTAAGGGCAATACAACAAATACCACCCTGATGAATACCTTAACATTCAAGTAGTATCTCATTGTTTTTTGGGGGTTTATTGCATTACAGTAATAATAAGATCTTAGGTACAAGTTTGTCATAATGTCACCATGCCAAAAAATAACGGTGCTAAATGGCTTCACTTTACTTATAGGATGAATTCACATAAACTGGAACGCATTTTGCCATTGAGAGGGGGGGTGGATGAGCCAATTATCCTGAATTAACCCTAACAATTTCATCAGATTTTGGGGTGAAATATGACCCGGGTGTGTTTTGTTGAGACTGACCCCCACACACTCTCACTGTTCCTGTTTCTCCAGCACCGTGCCTGTCACCAGCAGCAGGTTGCAGGCCATGAACTGCACATTGAGGATGTTGCTAGTGCTGCCTGTGTACTGTCCGATCAGCTCGCTGCTGGAGCCATCGCTGGGGGCGCTGCCGTGGGCGCTGCGTATGTCCCACACCCGCACTGAGTTATCCATGGAGGCGGAGGCCACCAGACTGCTGTCCTGACTGAAGGAGAGGCTGGTGATGCTATCGCTGTGACCCCGCAGGTCTTTGAACAGGCTGCCGGACGCCAGATCCCACAGCTTCAGTCTCTGGTCCTCTCCGGCCGAGGCCAGGTACTTGCCGTTGGGCGAGAAGGCGAGCGACAGCACGGGCCCGCGGTGCCCGGTGAACAGCCTCACGGACGCCCCCTGCTGCGTGCTCCACAGGCGCACGGTTTTATCCGTGGAGCCCGTCGCCACGTAGTTGGAGTTGGGGTGGAATTTGACGCAGTCGACGTCGGAGAGGTGTCCGGTGTACAGACGAAGCGGATAGGTGCGCGCGAAGCTCCAGAGGCGCGCGGTGCGGTCGTGGGACGCCGTGGAGAAGTAGAGGCTGCAGGGACTGACGTCCACGTCCCAGACGGGGTAGGCGTGGCCGCGGTACAGGACGGTGTTCGTGAAGCTGCTCAGGTCCCAGAGGCGCACGGTGGAGTCCTCCGAACAGGACAGCAGGCCGGAGCCGTCCGTCAGGAACGCCGTGCGGTACACGGGGCCGCTGTGAGCATGCAGGGTCTTTATCTCACTGCCCGAGGCGTCCTCGTCATCTGCCTGATTACAAACAAAAGACACATGTAAACAACTCAAGATGGACGGAAACACTTTAAACCACTTAAAAATTTGCATAATATAACAGCAAATATGTGACCCTGGACCACAAAACCAGTCATAAGGGTCAATTTTTTTGTTGTCCAAATGAAGTCCTTAGCAATGCATATTATTGTGTTGTGCCATTAATTGTAGGCCAATTGTCACCCAAATTCTTATTGTAATAATAATAAATGGAAATCAATGTAGTATTTGTTGTACTTCCTATTTTAAAAAAATACTGCAAATTATGAATTTATAAATATTTATTGAACTACTTTTTCCATTTATGCAGAATTATTTCAGTTACTTTATCACACCACTGATCTATTAACAATTATCCTTTTTATTGCAAAACGTCTAGATGCATTAAAGAAAAGAAACTTAAGTGCTTAATTATTTAGCTGAATCAACAAATTAAGGGCAATACAACAAATACCACCCTGATGAATACCTTAACATTCAAGTAGTATCTCATTGTTTTTTGGGGGTTTATTGCATTACAGTAATAATAAGATCTTAGGTACAAGTTTGTCATAATGTCACCATGCCAAAAAATAACGGTGCTAAATGGCTTCACTTTACTTATAGGATGAATTCACATAAACTGGAACGCATTTTGCCATTGAGAGGGGGGGTGGATGAGCCAATTATCCTGAATTAACCCTAACAATTTCATCAGATTTTGGGGTGAAATATGACCCGGGTGTGTTTTGTTGAGACTGACCCCCACACACTCTCACTGTTCCTGTTTCTCCAGCACCGTGCCTGTCACCAGCAGCAGGTTGCAGGCCATGAACTGCACATTGAGGATGTTGCTAGTGCTGCCCGTGTACTGTCCAATCAGCTCGCTGCTGGAGCCGTCGGTGGGGGCGCTGCCGTGGGCGCTGCGTATGTCCCACACCCGCACCGAGTTGTCCATGGAGGCGGAGGCCACCAGACTGCTGTCCTGGCTGAAGGAGAGGCTGGTGATGCTGTCAGTGTGACCCCGCAGGTCTTTGAACAGGCTGCCGGACGCCAGGTCCCACAGCTTCAGTCTCTGGTCCTCTCCGGCCGAGGCCAGGTACTTGCCGTTGGGCGAGAAGGCGAGCGACAGCACGGGCCCGCGGTGCCCGGTGAACAGCCTCACGGACGCCCCCTGCTGCGTGCTCCACAGGCGCACGGTTTTATCCGTGGAGCCCTAGTTGGAGTAGTTGGAGTTGGGGTGGAATTTGACGCAGTCGACGTCGGAGAGGTGTCCGGTGTACAGACAGGTGCGCGCGGTGCGCGCGAAGCTCCAGAGGCGCGCGGTGCGGTCGTGGGACGCCGTGGAGAAGTAGAGGCTGCAGGGACTGACGTCCACGTCCCAGACGGGGTAAGTGTGGCCGCGGTACAGGACGGTGTTCGTGAAGCTGTTCAGGTCCCAGAAGCGAACGGTGGAGTCCTCTGAACAGGACAGCAGGCCGGAGCCGTCCGTCAGGAACGCCACGGGGCCGCCGGGGCCGCTGTGAGCATGCAGGGTCTTTATCTCACTGCCCGAGGCGTCCTCGTCATCTGAAACAAAAGAAACAAAAGACACATGTAAACAACTCAAGATGGACGGAAACACTTTAAACCACTTAAAAATTTGCATAATATAACAGCAAATATGTGACCCTGGACCACAAAACCAGTCATAAGGGTCAATTTTTTTG